TAGAGGAAAAGAAAATTCTAAAAATATGTGATCACTCTTATAGAAAAAATATAACATTTTGTTTTAAAAGACCCAGATAAATGGAAAAATATACCACATTCCTAGAGACTTTTATTCTACAGAGGTTATATTAGTTTTCTATTGCTGTGTAACAAATTATCACAAAATTCAGTGGCTTAAAACAACGCCGCTTGTTAGCTCACAGTTCTGTGGGTGAGAAGTTTAGACAAGTTCAACTGGGTCTCTGCTTAGGGCTTCAGGAGGCTGAAATAAAGGTGTTGACCAAGCTGAGCTCTTATCTTGAGGTTCTTAGGGAGAATCCATTTTCAAACTTGTTCATATTGGTAGAATTCAGTCCCCTGCAGCTATAGGACTGAGGTTGTTGTTTCTTTGCTGACTGTCAGTGGAGGGTCACTCCCAGTAATTATTAGAAACCAAACATGTCTCAGCAAATTGAAAATAATTGAAATCATATCGTGTATCTTCTCACACTGCAGTGAAACAAAACTAGAAATCGATTACAAGAGGAACTCACAAACTATATAAAAACATGGAAATGAAGCAACCTGCCATTGAATAATCTTTGGATCAATGACAAAATCAAGATGGAAATCAAAAAAAAATGTATTAATTGAATGGCAATGGTGACACAAGTTATCAAAATCTCTGGGATACAGTAAGAGCAATGCTATGAGGGAAATTTATAGTACTAAATGCCTACATTGGAAAGACAGAAAGATCACAAATTAGCAACCTAACATCGCACCTCAAATAACTAGAAAAACAAGAACAAACCAAACACAAAGCTGGCAGAAGACAAGATATAACAATTGCTCATTTAATCAAAGAGATCTTCAGATGTGATGCTCTTGCGTTTTCTGGGTCTCTGTTTACATAGCATCTAATAAGGACATGTTTTGTCCCCTTCTTAATTATTGCACTTAGTTCTGTCATGTCTTAGCACATTCACCAGAACTTCCATGATTCTGTTAAATAACTTTAGAGATTGTTACTGTTTTCAATGGAAAAACTCTGATGCGTTTTTCTTCCACCA